CGGCCTCCCCTGCTCGATGGTCGCTCGCGTTCGGGTGACCGCTCCGGCGACCGGGTATCGAGGAAGGGCCGCTCAGGTGAGCGGTTGTCAAGGTAGCTTCGTAGGTCACGAACGCTGCCCGGCTGTAATGACTGCATGCGCTTGTGCTGTGTGCCTTTTATCAGAGAGCGCTCGGACGAGGGCAGCTTCTGTGGCATGGGGTTAGTAGTGTATGAGCTCGCAGGTAAACTCTCTCGCGCCTTCTCTTCAAGCGCCTTCGCCGCCTTCATGATGGCTGCAGATGTGTTGGGGCGGGTGGTGAGAGTGGGCGAGCCAGGGTTGAGAGGCAGTGGCGGAGGTGCACGATCCGGGTCAGCACTATCCCACCTGAAGCGCAGTGTTAGTATATCGCGAAAGGCTACATGGCGGTGAGGAAGACGAACATGGGAATCATCCTGTCTGACGAGAACGAATGTGAGTGTCTGACGAGTTCCCGGTCGCGGGAGACCTCTCTGTCTGAAGAAGGCATTGTGATGTGTCGTCTGGTGTGTATTCAACCAAATGTAGTGGTAGTGAGGCGGAGAGTGGGAGCGAGTATGATATGGAGCGCGTGAGTTTCAATTGGGGTATACAGCGGAGGGATTGATCGTGAAAAGCTATCAGCGATCCAGCGCAGGGTATATAATAGTTCGTGATATCGTGGAGGGTGGGAGTGTGGGAAAGTGGACTGCAGGTGCAGGGCGGGCGGTGTGTTGATCAATAGCTTGGGGTTTGTTTACGTGCACTGGCCAATAGGCGATGACGATGGAGGCGCGACTGCCAACTCAGCCGTCGCTGGGGCAGCAGCGGCGGCAATGGATGTCCCCGGCTGCGAAAGTGCGCCAATGGCATGCATAGAGCGGGATAGATTGTGCAAACCAATATTAGGGCGAACGTATTCAGGAAATGTCGCGGTCCCTTGCTATAGCGTGTTGTTGTCCGAACTGCGGTTGCCATGTGCCCTGTATGCTGTGGCGCTGGAGTGTGGCGTCGCCCCAATCGGAATTACGTACCGCCTAACCACCGACCGCCGCATCTCCAGGTGAGCTTGTGAGCTCAACATCACCAAACAGTTCATCTCCGCCACCCCATCGCCCGCTCCACCTCACGACTCGTGCACTTTAATCACCTTAAGTCACCGCGTATACCCTCACAACCTGCCCACCCACCATGGCTGTCCCGGATACGAGCTCGCGGATAGCGGAGGCGCAGAAGCTGGCCAAGTCGGATCCCTCCAAGGCCGAGCAGATCTTCAAAGACGTCCTGTCGCAAGACCCCGGCTCGAATGAGACGGCCATCAAGAACTATGAGAGCGCTCTGATCGGGCTCGGTGAGCTCTACCGCGACCAGAAGCGGGTGGACGCGTTGGCGGAGCTCGTGAAGCAGGCGCGGTCGATAATGTCGTCCTTTGCGAAGGCGAAGACGTCCAAGCTGGGTAAGGAAGCGAATTTGGACTTCAGGTCAATATTACATAGCTAATTCCCACAGTCCGACAACTACTCGACCTGTTCACCGCCATCCCCAACACCGCCGATATCCAGATCGATGTCACCAAGTCGTGCATAGAGTGGGCCGTGTCAGAGCGGAGAGGTTTCCTGCGACAGAACCTAGAAACCCGACTCGTCTCCCTGTACATGCAGAAGCAATCCTACTACGAAGCCCTCACACTCATCAACAGCCTGCTGAAGGAGTTGAAGCGCCTGGACGACAAGCTGGTCTTGGTGGAGGTTCAGCTGCTCGAATCAAGGGTCTACCACGCGTTGGGCAACATACCAAAGGGTCGCGCTGCCCTCACGTCCGCACGAACATCGGCTGCTTCGGTCTACACTCCGCCTCTGCTGCAGGCTGGTCTCGATATGCAGAGTGGCATGCTGCACGCAGAGGACGGCGACTTCAACACCTCCTTCTCCTACTTCATCGAAGCCATGGAGGGGTACCACTCACAGGATGAAGAGCAGAAGGCTACTTCGGCACTCCAGTACATGTTGCTCTGCAAGATCATGCTCAACCTCGGAGACGACGTCACCTCGCTCATGACCTCCAAGCACGCTGTCAAGTACGCAGGCAAGCGGTTAGAAGCCATGAAGGCCGTAGCGCGCGCACACACCAACCGCAGTCTCGAAGAGTACGAAACCGCCCTGACCGATTTCCGCCAGCAGCTAGGCAGCGACCGATTCATCACCTCCCACCTTCGACGCCTGTACGACAACATGTTGGAGCAGAACCTGATCAAGGTCATTGAGCCTTTCAGCAGGGTAGAGATTGACCACGTCGCCAAGATGGTCGGTCTCGACACAATACAGGTTGAGCGCAAGCTCTCGCAGATGATCCTCGACAAGGTCATCATCGGAGTTCTGGACCAGGGTGCCGGATGTCTGATCGTATACGACGAATCGGAGCGAGACCAGGGCTACGACGCGGCACTCAGTACTCTAGAGAAGCTGAGCAACGTGGTCGATGTACTTTACACCAACCAAGCTTCCCTGCTAGAGTAAGAGGTAAAAGGGGGAACTTTGACAGCTCCCGAAGCTATGTACAATAAAAGCATAGATGTTAGGTATGCTACACGTCCAATGCGACTAGCTAATAACGATGATACATGACATGGCAAATCTTCCAGGGCATTTGTGCGCGCTGAAGTGGTGTTAACCTCGGTTTGCCCAGGCACAACAGCAGAACATTACACAGCACTCATATTTTGGCCGGCTATACATCGGCAAACTACCATGTCACCCTTGCTTCTTTTTCTCGAATAAATTGTCGTCTACTATCCGGCATAGCAAGGGCAGCCTTACCGAGCCGACACTATACACATCCCCGTCTCATTCGCTCATCCTTGGCGATCTACACCCACCTCCCATAGCAGCTCCACACAAGAACCACATAGCATCCCCAGATAAATTGGCACGCACGACAACGACCGGGGATTTGATTTGGAATCACGGAGATAGGGGGGTGCAGGACGAAAATCTGCAGAAATGAATTATAGCAATGGGAATTCCATGCGTGTATAAAGTACCATGCATCGCACGGATCTTGAATATCCAAGCAGGTCAATTCCATTGCCTCCTCTCCTTACTTCACCCCTACACACTTCTTCCAAAATGTACTTCACCGCCGCCGCAGCGACCACCCTCCTCTCCCTCATCCCCACGGCCCTCTCCCACGGCCTCATCACCTCCCCACCCTCGCGTCCCACCGGCCCAGAACTAACCTCCCACTGCGGCCCCGCCATAACCCGCACCATAAACGGCGACAACACCTCGCACGTCGAAGGCCTCCCCGAGCTCCTCCTTCCCCCCTACACCGCCTCCAGCTGCAACCTCTGGCTCTGCAAAGGCCTCCAATTCGCCGACAACCCGTCCAACAACACGCAGGTCTGGAGCGCGGGCCAGGTCGTGCCCATGAAAGTCTGGATCCGCATTCCGCACGAGGGATCCGCGAATGTTAGTATTGTGGATACGAAGAAGAATGAGGTTGTGGGCGAGATGCTGAAGGTGTGGGAGGAGGGGTATGCGCCGGGGAAGAGTGAGGCGGATGTACCGGCCGAGCAGAAGGAGTTTAGTGTTAAGGTGCCGCAGGGGTTGGAGGAGAGGTGTGCGACGGCGGGCGATTGTGTAAGTTTTCATGGGTGAGGTGGTCTGGGTGAGATGCTAATGCGGTGTAGGTGCTGCAGTGGTGGTGGTATGGTGTGGCGGCTAAGCAGACATACGAGTCTTGTGTTGACTTCAGGATCGCGAAGACGAATGCGAAGAGGGATTCTTTCGGTCGTGCATTCAGGGGATGAGGTTTAACGCTTGTAGACAGCGGTCTGTGATTCGAGTTGCGTAAAGGTTTGGAAGTTTGGATTTAGAAAGTCACGATTTGTTCAACTACATAGTCAACCTATCCGTGCCTCACTACATGCCATACCTTTAATCCTGGGCCCTTCTCTTTCTCGCTTGCATATTCACAACCGCAATGCCCAACAGCGTGCCGCAGAAGAAACACACCATGATGGTCGCTGCGACCATGGTACAACAGTAACGCTCGCTCTCTCGCGTGCGTCTTGCTTCTGTCTGCACGTGGTTGTCGCATATCTCGCAATGCGTGTGTGGTTCGGGGTTTGGTCGAAGGAAATTAGTGATGGTCTGAGCCAACGTCTCAGTGTTTGACGTTGATGAAGAGGGGTTGCCGGAAGAAGTGTGGTTGTGGGGTTCAGCGTGGAGTTCGATGTCGTCGTCATCGGTTTGGCTTACGGTCGTGTACTGTGAATTGACGGGTTAGCAAGATTGGAGGCTTGTGACACAATGTGGTAGATTAGCTTACGGCTGATGCTGATCCAGAGGGCCCGTATCGGTTCACGGGATGGTCGTGCAATACTTCCTCGTAGGCGGGTGCTGCTTCTTGTGGAGTAGTCGGGATGCCCATTTTCTTTCCTGATTCCATAATGGTACCTATGTTGTGGGAAGTAGATATGCTCTGAGAAAGTAAGGAGTAAGTAGTTAGTTGTAAGATCAAACGTGCGACAGCACTCTTGTCATGTTTATCAGCCAGCTGCAGCCGCTTTGCCGGTCATCCACAAGCTCGTGATTCTAGCTGGATGTTGGATGCCTGATGAGATGATAGGGTGTCACTAGAGGCTGTGCTGTCAGCTGACCAATAAGATCGGTGCATGTCCGTAAGTTTGCGGGGCTGTGTCGGCTTGCAAGCTACCGTTGAGGTTTGATCGAAGATAAGCATCATAGTGCTGTTGCTTGAGCACAGATCAAGCCAATGACGGCACGAATCTGGGAATCGCTCAGCCGCATCCTATGCTTGGCCACAGTTTTGACTCTTTTCGGAAACATACATGCAGATCACAGGATGATTGAAATAATGATACTGCATGTTCTTGTTTGCGCGCTCGTCTCGTGATGATCCGATTGCAATGACTTTGACGGTACTTTGGGTAAATAATGATACTCATTCATAGTAGATGTCGTGACAGTCTGACGAGTCCCTCACTGCGCGACCTTGATGACAATCTTACCAGAAAAGTTGCCCGACAATTGAAGATCAAAGGCCTTCTTCGCGTCCTCGAACCCAAACGTCTTGTCAAGCATGACATCAAACTTGACCTTCTTGTCCTCAATGAACGCATTCATATCCTCGAAATCCTTCTTCGATCCTACAGCGATGCCTTTGAGCTTGGCGCCCTTACCCATCAGGGCCATCAGCTGAGCTGGCTTCCAATCCGCTTCCCAGCCGGCGAGGAAGCCGACTAGCGAGACAGTGCCGCCGCGAGCGCACAGGTAAGAGATATCATCGATAAGGGAGCCGACGCCAGTGTTGTTGACTACGAAATCGACGCCGCGGTCATTTGTAAGTTCCTTGATCTTGGCAGCTTGGTCGTCGGTCTTGTAATTTAGACCGCGGACTTTGTCGCTGATCCGATCTTGGATCGCCTTGATCTTGTCGTTCGAGGATGAGGTTATGATTGGAGTGATGCCGCCGGCGAGGCAAAGCAGTAAGGAGAACATGGAAACGCCGCCGGTGCCTAGGAGGTATGAGTAAGAGAGTGGGGAATCCGTTATCTTGCCTCACCTTGTAGTAGAGCACTAGAGTGCTCTTGTACCGTCTCCAACGAATCCAGCGCATTCCAAGCAGTGACACCTGCACACGGTAACATTGCGCCCTATTTGTGTATTAGCCCAACGCATTTGCAGATGTTTTGTGAACAACTCACCTCCTCCCACGACAAATGCTTCGGCAGGTGCACCAAGTGCTTCTCCTGGTAAACGGCATACTCCCTCAGTACACCCGCACCGTTCGCACCGATAGCCACCGAGATGCTGTCATCCGTGGGATGAAAGTCGCCTTGATTGCAAATCGGGGCAACAATGTCTCCCACTTTGAAGTTCTTGACTGCAGAGCCCAAACCGACGACCTCGGCGGAGGCATCAGAGCATGGGATGCCTTGTTCCGTGACAGCAGGCGGGTACTCAGCTACCAGCATAGCGACGTCGCGGTAGTTGAGCGATACAGCGTGGATCTTGATGACTACATCGTTGGGGCCGAGGTCTTTTTCTTGCGGCAGATTTTCTTGGCTTTGCTCAAGGGTGAGAGGGTTTTGACGAGAGGCCTTCTCTTGACCGGCGCTGCGACGGTAGGCCGTGTAGGTAGATGGGTAGGTCATGGCGGGAGTTGGGTTGGGGAAAATGTGCTTTGGACGATTGCGCGAATGGACCTGATGGATTGAATGTCGGTGTCGCACGGCTTCGCAGTTAATAAATAAGAAAAGTTGCGCCTCTTCCTACAAGCAATGTAAAGTTGCTGATCAATCATGATGGGCTGCTCGATTCGTCCGATGGAGTTCAGGTGTTCGTCATTTCTGCAGGTTGTCGCTAGGTGCGATCCAAACTAGAAGCTTGGAACGTCGCGACGCGGAAGGGACGCTACGCTCAAGCGTGAACGCGTTCCAGATGTCGACCATCGAGCCTGCGAACTCGCCCCCCTAAATCTGCAAAGACTGCATCGGGCCTTCTGGTACACAATGCGACACCCACGAGCTGCAACAGCATCATGTTGTGGCCATGCAAGTCGAGCTTTGGTTCCAGGCGGGGCCAGCGGAGTGGAACTTCACTCCGCTTCCGATCTTTTTAGTCAGCCTCAACAACCCTCCACTCACGAAGACCTATCCATGCGCCCTATGTTTGACATCGCATACCATCAACGATCTTATTTTGCGACAAGATTAACGGCTGCGTAGATCTAAGACCCATCGCGTCTCTTTGTCGAAGCTGCGTCGATCCTCGCCCTCAAGGCCACTTAGCCCGACTTCTCGCAAGTCTCCGAGTATCTCGACAGCCTTACTGAAACTCTCATTCGACGCATAGCCCTCATTGGTCAAAATACCTTGTAGCTCTTTCCAGAGTTCCTGGCTCTTGTTGAAAGTCCCCGCCTCTTCGTCGTGTTGCCGTAACTCCTCTGCTGAGAAATGGTACGGACACGGTTCGTTAGTACCAAAGTGACGCCACTCACTGCGACAATGGTCAGCCAGGGAGCTTGATGGCAAACATATCAACATACCTCTCAACGCGGATCAAACATTCTTCAAAGGGGAAGAGACAGTTGTCCCAGGTAGAGCCAACAAAAGCTTCTAATTGCTTGAGGGTCTGGCCATGGGGATGATGCATAACCTTGTACATCAGAGGGTTCTTCTCCACCGTAGTCTCTTCATACGTGTGGATTAAGATAGACTGAGACACTTGGTATTTGAGCTTATCTTTTGTAGTATCGTCGAGTGCTTTGAAGTTTTCAGGGAGCTTCATCAGCATGTCAATCCCATAGTCTAGAAGCAATGGGGGATTGGCACCGATGAACACCGGGGTAGCCCAGGCTCCCTGCCAGTCAATGATGCATGAGATTCGGTCTTGGTCGTCGATATAGACGTTACCAGCATGGAAGTCTGGGTGCCAAAGTCTGGGAGAGACGAGCTCTGGGTCCTTGGGAGTGATATACGGAATTGCAGTTAGAAATTTCTCCAACAGTGCTGTGTGAGCCTCTGGAGACTTTTGCTGTGGATTCGTGTACTGCCATGGAGTTTTACTCGGCTCCTGTGGGTTCGCATGGTTATTGATCCATTCGATCTCACGGCGAGCGACAGACTTTAGGTACTCTGCGGAAGATGTCCCTACAATTATTGTAAGTCTAGATCCGAGTTAAACAAGCATCCAGAAACTTACAAGGACCATGAAATTGCATTTCACTGCGTTGCTTCTCCCAGAACTCCCTTCGAGTAATTGGCCCAATGCAATAAGTTGATTCGATGTGATCGATGACATCTTGTGGACCACTTGTAACGATAGCCGGCTCGCATCCTGCAATACCACTATCTTTAAAATACAATGATCCCAATCTGACAGGGTGTGTAAGTTGCGCTGGCCGCAAATTTTTTGTTAGAGCAAGTTGAATCTTACTTTTCAAAGGAGACCGAGAGTAGTTTCCTTTCAACGGCTACAAACTCACGAATAATGTCACACTTCCTCCGCAGTGGGAGATCCTGCCAAACTTCGTGCAGTTGGGAGCCACTCGCTTCTTCCATGATGATATATTCTGCTTGGACAGGATTTTGGTCGGTGGCACTCCAAGCGAGAACTCGTGGGACGGGTAAGTTCAAAACAGTCCGGGCAAACTCCATAGTTGCCACTTCTGATGCCGTGGTATGGCCCCGTGGGCCAGCATTAGGGTGTGGGACTTTTGCGATGATCTTTTGGCCGTCTTCCATCTGAAGGTGATAAGCCTTGTTGTAGTTGCCTTCGCCGATCTTCTTAAAAGATATACACTTGCTTGCACCGACGGCCTGGCAAGCCGCTTGCTGAAGACTGGACACATCAAAGCGTCGGTACCGGGCTTCCAGTTGCTCGCGCTCATTCCATAGTCATCGTCCGCTCGTGTAGCAGAACAAGGGATTCGTGTCCATCTGACGATGTGAGGGCATCGCGCGGCTACCCTCCGAAGTGTGTAGTAAGCGAAGGTAGTGCCGCTTTGCGATGTTTGACCAGCCTCGACCAAGCGCCATTGCGAGGAACTTACAAGGAGGCTGTGATGTGAATAGTGAGACGAAGTTTATGATGAGACTATGAGACGCGCAGCTAAGCCTGCAGCCTTTGTGGGCTTCTCAAGTAAGATACTACTGGCGCTGAGCCTGCTTTTTCCGCGAGCGTTGTTCGTCGCGATGGACGAGCGTGGAGACGGGGACATTGCTGTATGCGGATCAAGCGGCGTATGAACCAGGCGCGTAAGTATCAGACACGCATGCAAATAGCGTTTGCATCAGCGCTCGTCTGGCTGGTTCCATATTGACGGGTGTGGTGGGAGGGTGAGCTCGGGCAAGAAGCCAGCAACCGCCGCGACGCGTGTTCGGAAAAGCTTCGGGACGCATGCGCCACAGCTTGAGCTTTCTCGGCGTATTGACTGAACGCCCGGGAACCTACACTAACGTTAGGTCTCCTACTTTGCGTTTTCTCAAATTCATGTAGTCTCTAAGATTTTTTTTTTCCGGCATGCGGAGACTCGCCTGCCTCTGCAGATAAATGCGGAAAACGCGTTGGCAGAGGCTGCACGTCTTGAAAACTCGCAAACATCTTTCTAGACTGATTATCCAAAATTTCATACACCTGGAAAAAGATCGTCGTAGTTGTCGACGGAAGAGCAGGGGTGCATTTTCGCTGCTGCTTCTAACGCCACAGACGGAATTCCAGAAAACACAGTCGAAATTGTTATCATTTGAGTTTTACTAAAGTACTCCGCAGTGTAGCACGATCCAACCTAAGTTTTAGCAGACATCACTTTCGCAGAAAAGCGTCCGAAGATATGCGACGATCATGATGTTCTCATTTCCATCGATCTAAGTAAGTACTGCCGGTACTTGTATTACTTACTTCAAAGTACGCCGCCGCCGTCATGACTTTTAAATCTAAATGTTAGTATGAATCATGAAGATACAAAACCTCGACCGCAACTCCGCGCTAGTATTACAACCATGAAAGGAATCAAATCGCCAACTCGTCAGATCATCTCATCGCAAATACCATACTCAGCCACGACAGGCTTACGGACCGCCCCACCAGCCACCGCCCCCATCCCCAACACACAACTCTCCTCACCCAGTATCTCCGATAACTCCACATCGCCCTCTGCCAAACCCTGGACCGCCCGAACTAAGTCCTTCTCGACAAAGTTCTGGAAACGGTCGCGATCAGTGTCTACACCAGGACGGTGGAAGAAGAACTTGACCGCGGTACCAAAGGCAAACCATTGATCAACCATGAACAGCATGGCTTCTTCTAGTTTGCGGTCCTCGTAGATGTCCTGGAGACATGGGCGGAGGAGGGAGCGGATACAGAGATGGATTTCTTGGAGTGGGTTGGCGCCTTGGTTTTGGAAGTTGAGGAGTATGTCGTGGAGGGCTGAGGGAGGGAGGTCTTCGAGAGAAAGGTAGATACGAACTACGTGAATGTCGCCGTCTAGAATGGTGGTGGGATCTTGGATCTTCTTGGTCGTCTGCTTGCCTGTCGCGTCGGTGGCGACAGAGGCGAAGACGAGGCCGGTGGGCGGGGATACGGTGGGCAGCTTTTGGACTGCTGGGGCGGCGGTAGAACTGGGCAGTTTTGCGCCTAGCGATAGAGAACTTGAACCAAACATGGGTGACGTCGGGGATTTGTTTGAGGAGGCAGGCGCAGGAGGACCCATACCACCCTGCAGCGCAGGGCCGAAGCCCCAAGTCGGGGAAGTGTTTGTGTTAATAGTAGTAGTGGAAGCGCCAAAGCCGAAGCGCGGCGGAGTAAGAAAAGAAGGCATTCTGTTGGTTAGTAGAGTCGATGGTCCTGTAGTTGAGGGAGTTGCAAGTGTTGCGATTGCTGTCGTTGAAATTGTTTGTCGCCGGGTGTGGGGGACCACGCACTTTTATACTCACAGGGCGGGTACGCGCACAGACAATCTGCGTTCGCGAAAAGTAGTGAAAAGGCGAGAGCGAGTGAGTCAAGAGAGCGAGATCGGCGTTGTGGTAGAAGGCCTATGGTAGCGATGATCGCGACCAAAGTATCACCGTAAGTGAGCGAATCATCAGTGTCAACTTGGGAAGATGGATTAGGCTGCACACTTAACTGAGAGTCAGCGGTAGTATAAGCAATGATAGTAGAAGACATCTGTACTTGATTTGTGTAAAAAGAGAGTATGTACAGAAAGAATGGTAGTGAAATGAGTGTAAGTCCCATCGCCAATCCCAGGGCATTCTAAGCACCCATGTGCTCTTCCAAAGTCCCAAATCCTACATTCCGCTTATCCCATCAAATCCAATCAGCAAGCGGCGATGTCAGCGGGCGTGTAGATACAAGCTGAGCTGGGGCCCTCGCTGATCTGCTTAGGCTCAGCACCCGTGTCGTTACCCTCGAACTCCTCGCAAATAGCCTTTGTGCCCGTGACACAAGAGTTGGTAATGGTAGCAGTATCGCCGTAGTTGGAGTTAATACCAACGAAAGTCGCTGTTCCGCCTGTAGCCTTGACTTTGTCGATCTTGACGTGGCGCTCGCCCATGGTCTTGCAGTTTCCACATGATCGGTAGAGTTTCCCGAAGGTCGAGACTGTGAAGCCTGAGATTGAAATGGTACCCGCGCCGTTGTGTTGGATGACTTTGTCGGATGCGCCCATCGCTCCGCCACCGGTGACTGTGCCGTCGCCGTCCTTCTTGAAGGTGAGAGCGTCTTCACAAACATCTTCCCACCAAACATTCTCGATAGTGCAAGCTCCTTGGCAGTGTACTCCCTCGATCTGGTCGGCTCCGATGATGACGTTGCGGAGGGTGCCGCCGTTAGCAATAGAGAACACAGCATCGCTGTCTCCTCCCTCTGATTGACCGGTGCAAGACACTCCACGACCGAAACGCTTCATGCCACCATCGAATTCGCCGGTTACCATCATTGTCTTGGAGAGAGTAGACTCGCCAGCTGCTGCGGGCATGGTACCGCTTGCTGCACTACCGCCTGAGCTAGGCATAGTGGAGTTGCCTGATCCAGTCTGAGTTCCCGAACCGGAGGAAGATCCACCACCTGAAGAAGAGCCACTGCCTGAGGATGAACCACCACCTGAAGACGAACCACTTCCCGAAGATGAGTCGCTGCCCGAAGATGAGTCGCTTCCTGAAGACGAGTCGCTGTCTGAGGAAGAGTCGCTTCCTGAGGATGATCCGCTGCCCTTGCCGCTTCCGCTGCTGGAGTCCGAATCTGATCCCGAACTGGAACCGCCATCTCCGCCAGAGCTTGAACCAGAGTCGCCAGCCGCATCCTCAGTGCTGTCTCCAGTGCTGTCGCTAGCGTCACTGGAGGACTTGTCCTTGCCACTGGAAGAACCCTCACTGCTGTCAGAAGAGTCAGAAGAGCCAGAAGAGCCCTTCGACTTGTCTTTCTTGTCATTCTTGCCGTCGGAAGCACCGTCCTTGGAGTCAGATGAATCACCTGCAGAGTCCTTGGAATCCGAGGCATCCTTAGATCCTTCGTCGCTCGCTCTCCAAACCAGACCGAAGGGTGAACGCTTCGTAACAACAGGTTCGGACTCCACGGATCTACGCTCGTAGTCGTTGCCGGGGGTAAAGGTAGGAGCACCCGTCATCTGAGGGTCGGATGGCTGACCGCCAAAGCCTGGGAAGCCGCCCGTGGGAGCAGCACCACCTCCAGGAAAGTAGCCGGGGTCACCACCATTGCGTTGGCCACGTCCTGGACCACCACCCATACCCATTCCCGGGCCGATGGAATCAGGGCCAGAGCCGGCGGATTCGGTGCCGTTGCGTTGACCGCCGCCGTGTTTGCCGCGATGGCCACCACGATGGCCATGAGCCTTTGTAGGAGCGGGGCCTCGAGCCGAAAGTTCCGTCGGTTTAGCTGGGGCGGGAGCAGGTGCCGCGGAGACAGAGACGATCAGGGCCGCAGCCGCGATGGTAGTCAGAGAGAAACGCATGTTTTGTTGGTTTTCCGGCTGATTTGAAGTGAAAGTAGGGAAATGAAGGTATTGCACAGCAAAGATGACACAGTCAAGAAAAGAAGGGTGACCGGCACTGAGCTGGAGAAGAGAATGTGGAAAAGGGAAGGTGTTGGAAGCAAGGAAGAGATCGTTGGTCCTGATGAGGATGAGGATCTTGCAATGGGCGGGCTGCGAACATCTTTATAGCCATTGTGTTAGGAATACGTACTGTTGGTTTACTGAACATGCGTGTCGGTGGTATACGACGACGTCCCACACCATCCGCACCCCAAACCTCCAAGCGCATGATGCCTATCGTCGGTTATACCACGGGTACTGTGCACTCAATGCGATGACTGAGTAGGCCCGAACACACGTGCAGTCGTGAATCGAGGAAACGTGGAAACAGGCCTGGTATCCTGGAAAAAAGACTGTGTTTGGTTTGCGCGTCCCGTTGACGAAACCGATCGTCCGACAGCTGACAATCTATGAGAGGGATGTGTCAGGTTTCATGTTGAGGATGTCGGTCTTGGCAGCAGTGACAGCCATGTAGGGTGAAGCTACTAGTGAAGATGCAGAAACGTCCCGCTTGTCAGTTGGTAGTCTAGAAGTTCCGGAAGTTTGGAGTTTCGTGTCGCGCGTTTCACTTACTCGACAGAACGAATGCAGATTGGATGGACTGACCACCAAGAATGTAGTATTCGCTATCATGCAGCGCAATACAAATTAATGAAATAAGTGACATTAGCGAGGTCTGCATCGCCTACATTCGCGCTGCTTCCTTAGGGTCTGGCCTTGTCCCTATAACGATCTTGCTTTCCCAACCCAATCTTTGCGAATATCTTCCAATCTAAGGAACCGAGTGCGCGGTATATGCGAGGTGGCTCGGGTTCTCCAGTACTATCTACCACGGTGGCCAAGTTGTCTTTCATGTACACTCGAAGTTCGTCTTTGAGACGCGAGGGTGTAAGCCGTGAGTGGTATATCGTGCTCAGGCCTTGAGCCTGCATGCGTGGGATATGTCCATCTAGTCGGTTAGCACTGTATATATGTGGATTGCATGTTTCGATCTGCAAGATGTGCACTGGTCTTGAGGACGGGCGGTTTGAAACTCCAAAGCGTTCCCACAAGTCGATCAGCTGGAATGGCTCGACAGCATAACCAGTAGCGAATCGTAGCTTCAGGGCCAGCTCAACATCCATAGCGTGTTCACCGGCGTTACCGGTTCCGATCATGGTTCTTGGGGTAGCGTCACCTCCGAGGACTTTCAGAAGGCGGTTCATCCATTCGTTCACGACACGCGAGGAGCGTCCAAACTCTTCAAACTCGAGCTCGCCGTTCCTGACTTTTGGCTTTGACTTCCATTTGATACGCACCATGGCATGCTGATTTTGTCCGGTATCTCTGTTGTGATACGATGCCCAATGTAACCCAGCGGCGTATACTTTGCAGTACTCGAGGACGGATCCGGGAATCCGGTTGTCAGCATCAATGAAGCCGACGAACTTACGTCCAACAAGCTTCGTGATGATCACACCGAGTATCATAGCCTCTCCTTTTCCGTTGTTCATGCGTGGAACATGTGTTTTCCCCTCGGGCGTACTTGTTCCTGGGTGTTGCAACAGCTCTGGCATTCCGGCTTCCTTGAAGGCGCGGGCGAAGGTTGACTCACCTTGATGATGTACCATAACAGATCGGCTTGCAACCTTTCCGAATTTGAGCAGCGACTCGCACTCCGCCTTGTAGTTTGTCTGGTTGCTGTTCGAGATGAAGATGACAGAACAATGATGTGGAATACCACGAAGAAGGCCTTCGAGAACTGTGATATCTTCATCCATGCAGGGAACTACGATTGCCAGATTGCGCTCGATGCTTTCGATTGAATCTGGAGTGATGACAATGTTCTCCTGATTGACAGAGGTGTTAGCCGTGCTATCACCCGATGTGTCTTGACCGCCTGCGTCCAGTTCCGAGACAGAAGACATCTCGCGTAGCTGCACGTTCCCGACCCGGGTGATTTCTGGGCGGATGCTCAATCTCATGATGAAGATAAGCTGATTATCGAAGTGGACTCAGTCTTGCAGCGGTTCTGATAATGGAGTAAGGGTGTATGAGGAATCAAAACGTGTATACTCACATAGGTCTTATAAAGAGATTCTTGCGGTCTGCTCGATGCTGCTCTTGACTGCATTGTTAGGCGCAATGATAGAACGTTTGATTCTATGTGATCGACGAACTATTCATAGCTATCAGTACAATCTTTCGTGCGGAGCTAATTGCAGTGTGAATCCGAGGAAGGCTAGGATTTGATAGCCGATGTCGGCGTATGTCAATGTTGCTAGACACGCTGTAGCAGAGGTGGGTCCAGGATAACGTTGCATTGTGTCGGGCTCTGCAGCGATTCGACCATCGAGTATATCGGGTACTGAGGGTGGCGGTGCTTGTTTGGCACTGACGCGTTGTTGACATTGTCAAGTGCCGCAATTGACAATCACAGTACTGGTGACCCTTCCTCATGAAAATGTCCCTTTACCGGGAAAATGGAGTGGATGAATTGGATCGGTTACGTTGCGGTGATGATGCATTGCATGTAGCCAGTGTATGAAACGATGGATGTCTTTCTCTCAAGCGAGTCTTTCCACGTCAAACACGACCGGCCGTGGTTGCTCTCGGAGGATACTTTGAACTGCGATCAATACCCCGAAGAGTTCTCGCAGTCCCTTTGAGTGCTCCTGTCTCTATAAATGTGTATTCACGCGCCGTCGCGCCCTCCCACAATGGATGCGGCATGGTGGTGTCGTTTCGTCTGACGCGCTGTCGGTACCGTCGCGGCGCGCGCGTTGCTCAATGAGGCAGACAGATGACATCTCAACACTAGAGACTCATCCGATCTTCTGCGAGGCTTGAGGCGACTGCATTGGGCGAGGGCTAGTGCTGGCGCGAGTGGTGGTGTTAGTGGAAGGCAGTTGCACCAGCGAAGTTTGTCCAGTGGAAGCTCGGCTATCCGCTGGAGCTCTGGCCTCGCCCGAACGCCTCCATGACGTCTGCAGCTGGTGACACCAGAAGCGCTATGCGGACCCGGAGACTGAGAGCTTTCCCCGCGTTTGCGATGCTTTTGTACTATTTCTTGGATCCTTCTTAAGTCGTCATTTCCCCGGATTTCCCTGCGATGGCTTCCAACGATAATCCCGACAAGATGAGCTACATCTACAACTCGCAGCTCGTGAGCGCCCCTGACATGTGAAGATGGACGCTGGCTGACATTGATCGTTAGGATGCCTTCACCCTTTACCACATCTCGCACGAAAAGGAAGCACATAGCTCGGTCGGCCCTGTACTTCCTGCCCTCGGCCATGCTTCGTCTGGCGCTCTAGGAACCGTTGTGTCGAAACTCCTAACATACCCTCTCGATGTCGTTATTACGCGCCTCCAGGTTCAGCGGCAACTACATCATGGCGACGCGCACCCACACTATAATGGCTTTCTCGACGCCATCGAGAAGATATACGAGAGGGAGGGCGGAACAAAGGCCTTCTACAGCGGTGTAGTGCCCGAGGTCGTGAAGGGTGTCGCCGACAGCTTTCTGTTCTTCCTAGCGTATTCATATGCGCGACAGAAGAGGCTCGAAGCGCGAGGCACTGGACACAGCTTGCCGGCGCTCGAAGAGATCGGCGTCGGCGTCGTCGCAGGCGCCTTCTCCAAGTTCTTCACCACGCCCCTCCAGCAGATTGTGACACGGAAGCAGACAGCGGCGATGATGCGCCAGGAATCGTCGACCACCATACCTCCACTCTCCAGTACCAAGGACATAGCACACGAGATTATGCGCGAGAAGGGCATACAAGGCTTCTGGTCTGGCTACTCTGCCAGCTTGATCCTCACCCTGAACCCTTCCATCACTATGCTTCTGCACAAGGCTCTCCTGCGATTAGTCGTACCCAGGGCAAATCGAGACGACCCCGGCGCGCGCATGACGTTTCTTCTCGCCGCCATAAGCAAGGTCCTCGCCTCAACTGCTACCTATCCGTTCTCTCTCGCGAAGACACGCGCCCAAGTGTCCTCACAGAAGCCCTCTTCCGGCATTGGTGAGACTTCCGACAAAGAGAAGTCAGACGAACCACTTGAGTCGAGAGCACTACAAGCTAGGCAGCGAACTGTGTTCAGCACCATCTTGCGCATCGCCCAGACTGAAGGAATCTGGGGCTTGTACCAGGGTCTTGGAGCGGAAGTGCTCAAAGGCTTTTTCTCTCATGGCATCACGATGTTGATGAAGGACCGCATTCATGCTGTCATCATCAGCCTGTACTACACTGTGCAGGGCGCGTTGAAGAAGTACCCCAGCCCAAGTGAAGTCGCAAAGTCGGCATCAGACAGCGTTCAGAGCGCCTATGAACAAGGCAAAGAGCAGGCTAGCGATGCTTATGCGAAGGGCGCCGAAGTTGTCGGCAACGCAACAGAATCGGCAAAGCACGCCGTTTCACTGGGCTCACAGCAGGCGCAAGACCTTGTTGAAAAAGGCAGAGATGCTGTTAGCGAGGCCGCAAGCAGCGCCTACGACCAGGGCAAGAACGTGCTAGACAAAGGACAGGATGCTGCCACCAATGCCACTCAGCAAACTGGTGAAGCGCTTGAGCATGGCAAGAGGGCCGCAAGCGAGGCATCGCAGCAGGCCAAAGACGCTGTTCTGGACGCCGACATCAAGGACATCAATGGCCCTGACAAGGGTATCAAAGAGTGAGCCATGCAGCAGGTGATTTTCTCAACGCCTTCAGATTGTACATATACCCGATTGATTTTGTAGTTCTTTGTCCAAAGGCATGTCTGGATGGAGGATGTATTTTTTTTTTTGGTATGGTTCGGCGTCAAAAGCGTGCCTGACTTTCGTAATGCATAATGAGCGAATAATTGCCGGGTGAACTGTCCATCTACCTTGGGCGATCTGAAACGTCAGGGTGTCAGTATCCACTGCCACGCTTCGAGTAGCTGGTATGTCCATGTACCTAGGTACCGGACGCAAGCGTTCCAATGAGATTGAGCCTGTGTCCAAAGTAACTGCAATGGAAATCGTGTTCACGCCAGAATAGTACCAGCGCGTCGAGTGGAAGCAGGATTTTCCAGCCTTGCGGGCTTTGTTGTCTCTGCTGCGCTGGCTATTGTGGGGATGGCTGGTCACGGTACGTCGCATGTGTCATGCCGGTGGCTGGTTGCAGCGGTTGCCCTGGAGGCCAATGCGCTAACCACCTGGCTCCGCCCGCAGCGCCTCCATCATCAACAACCACGCCTGGCGACACATTCGACTGCATGCCGCAGTTGAGCGGCGACTAACTACTAACCTGCACAGGAACAGGACGATATTGTTTGCGCGACAGTGCGAGCGCGAAGAACCGACTCGAAGTTTCCGATAGTCGGCGGCGCATGACTGGACGTGCGACAACACACGGCCATTGGACAAAAGCGGAATCGTCAACATCCCGGACACCAAGAGGGCAGCCGCAACCCACGCGCACACCACCAGCTGCGGCTTTCTATGTCGTAGACGCCGGTGACGACACAGACCGCGACCGAGCAGCTGTGTGTTGACGTCTTGTCACTGCACCCCGCCCAGCTCATTCCCCTGATCACCGCACGCTGTTGGCAATCGCAGCCCAACCCCCACCGCCATCATGATGACCACCGGAGCGCAGTCTTCGCCGAGCCGGGGAGGATGGAGCAGCCTCGAGGAGGAGCTGGCTTACTACAAGTCCCAGTACGAGACGCTGGAGATGGAGCTGCAGGAGTTTCAGGCATCAAGCAAGGAACTGGAGGCCGAGCTCGAGCGCGACGTCGAGGAGAGCGAGAAGCGGGAGCGCAAGCTGCAGGAAAAGGCAGAGAAGCTGGGGTTCGAGGTTGAGGAGTGGAAGGTGCGTAGTCTCCAACACTTGGAGCGGATATCTGCCCTACATGGACAATCACTAACAAGTCACAACAGACAAAGTACAAGCAGAGCAAGGCCGAGGCCAACAATGCGCAGAACACCCTCCAGAAGGAGATTACCACGATGCGCGAGAGCCAGCGCGCCCTCCAGATGCGACTCCGCGACATCGAAGTACAAAGCGACGATTTCGAGCGCCAGGCACGCCACCAGACATCATCACTCGAGGATGTGGAATCCAAGTACAACGTGGCCATCGAGCGCAGCGTCATGCTGGAAGAAGAGATCAAGATCGGAGAGCAGGAGCGAGAAGCACTGCGGATAGAAACACAGCGCCTTAGGGACGAGCTGTCAGACCTGCGGGTAGAGGCGGAAATCACGCAGGAGAAGTTGCGCATCGCGGAGGAGACGATTGAGAACCACCACGTGCGTAAGGTATCCAACCATCTCTCTGGCGATGCCCTGAGGCCACGCTCGCCGGTCTCCGAGGCATCGACCACAGCAACCACCGTCTCCTCGCCCACGGCTGCTTCGACCCCACCACACTCGAAAGCAGATGGCCTACATACGGACGCGACTCCCCCTTCGCCACCGCTGTCCGACGCACCCATCACGACTAGATACCTGCCCTCGACGCCCATGCCCAAGCGAAAGAACTCGTATGCGCCGCTGGACCCAGGTGCAACCCCTCGCGCCGGCTTGTATCAGCGAGTCCCAAGACACTCACGAGGGCCTAGTATGTCAGCATCGCGACCAAGTACGAGTGCTAGTGGGCGGGCGACACCCTCTATTCGAACAACAGCACCCGCATCGCGAGCGCCTAGACCGAGCTTCGGAAGTGCTGCACCGCCGCCAAGTTTGCCTAGATCAGGCTCGCTCGTTCAGGTTCGAGGGCTGATTGGTAAGATGCAGAAGCTCGAAGAACGGGTACACGCAGCGCGATCCAAGCTCCCTGCGCCAACTACGACCCCACCGCGAGCTAGCCCGCGAAACGGCAGTGCCATGGGACACCACGTGCCAAGTACTGTTACATTGAGGAGCGGCAGAAAGCGCAGCTCCCACGCATCAGCGGGCTCGTCAGTCCCTGGCGCCTACGAGTCGGGTGTAAGCCGGTTGTCATTCGGCATGTCGACCTCGTCGCGCGAACCCCCCAGCAGCAGCAGACCAGCCAGCCGAGCATCCATGTCGTCGCAGTCAGCAATACAGCGGCCGGCAAGCAGAAGCAGCACCCGAACGCCACTCGGACATTATTCGTCTTCGTCCATCAGCGGAACGGAGCCCCGGATGCCAAGGCCAAGGAGCTCTATGAGCGGTCATGGCCATTCGCATTCGCTGTCAATGTCGCGGCGGGACACAGACGCCAACAGCGACGGAAGCGGCGTCTCGACACCAATGGGCAGGCGACTTACACTGGAGAAGACAGGCATACCTACACCAAGCGGTATACCAAGGCGTCAAAGTGCAGGACGCAGGGCAAGCAACAACATGGACAACGGAGACATGGCTCCTCCTGCTCGGCCACGAAAGATGTCGACGCAGGCGGAGGAAGAATCATACTAGGAGGGAACGGCGCATTGGTAGGAAGTTAAAGGACCCGCAGAACCACGTGTGTGTACCTCTGGATCGATCAATCTCTGGTGCATGATTTTCACGGCACTATACCTCATGCATTCTGGAGTCGGGTTCGCGATGAACATGTGCTAGAATTTGGGAATGGCATAGGGATGGGGTGTTTGGTGCAGGTTGGTCAGGCATGGTTGCACATAGGGAAGTCGAAGAAGGGCCGTCTTGAGAAGAAACTCGAGAGGTCCCCAGCTCCTTTGAGGGCAGTTACATATTACTTTTACATTCAGATTTCTTTTGTTCGAAACCAATATACCCCGAATTCCATTCACCGCTAGGCTCGCCGTTGCTTCTGTGCACCTCACCTCTTCTGGTTGTTTCACATCTTAATCTCGAAATACTACGACTACTACTACAGATCTCACGTGCTCTCCTTACTTCAAACGGAGTAGACTGCTCGTTCTGGACGAAAATCTGGGGTAAAGTTGCATGCATGCGCAGCCGCATTGGCGTTGGTGGTCGCGTAGTCAAAAATCGTACGATTCTGATGTCAAACGGCGGCCTGTCCCGCCGCGTTGACCCAAGCAGGAACCAGTACCAGCTACTCGCGCAAGACCCTGGATCTTCGGAACGCGCCTTCGGAATCTAGCTTGCTTTACCTGGATAGGCATCCTGGCTTGCTTTATCTCGCAGATGTCGCTACCAGGCTAGCAGTCCTTATTATAAAGATGCGGGCGGCAGTACTACGGGGCTTTGGCCGGCTGCCCTGCGGCGGTACCTGAGCACAACGTTTGCGACGTAGGCTTTCGCGGGACATGTTTTCTTTATTACTTCTACCCGGCTTCTCACGCCGTCGTAGACTACTAGACTGCTGTATGGAAGCCGATACTTTTTTGTTTCAGCGTCATCTACGGTGTGCTAAATTGAGAGTGTGCTTGATGTTTGTTCCGACAGCGGCCGCTTTGGGCGCTGATTGGGTGGCTGCGATCGGAGTCCGGTGGGAGGTGTCGGAGGAGGAGACCCGAGCATTACTCTTGATGTTACTCTGGCGTGCTTTGGCAAATGTGAGACGGGTGTTTGGTTATTTTGGGAGAAGGGTGTATGGTGGTGTGAGGGCTTAGTGAGGTGGGGAGGCGGTGGTGGTGAAGAGGTGAGATGGGACATGTTGAGACGATATCCAGGTGGGCAGCTACGTGTTGGGAGAGGGGTAAAGTTTGAAGTGGCGGTGATAGCTATCAACTCAACCCTGAACCGTCAGCGGATCAACGGCAGACGGGAGGCTTGACCAGCTGTTGGTGAGAGATAGCCAGGGCTCAACACATGGATGGGCATGCAGGTACTCGTGCTCGGGTTGGGTCTCGCAACAAGCAACTAATGCGGAAATGCTCCCAACAGACCTAGAACAGATGCCGCCATGGCGAGCAAACTCTCAACATGCTGTACCCATCGATCGTGAAAAAACGCGTCAATCTTGACTTGATCCAGATAGCTGGCTAGTCAGTCAGCGTAGCTAAGTAGTGAATTGGCCCGTAGACCAGCCGTCGTGTGTACATAATCGGGTTCCGAAGGGCTTCCGAGTCGTCTACCGTGGCTTCGAGAGGGATGGACAGGGGCGTTATGGGGGACGTGGTGCAGGGCCTTGCCGTCTTCGGCATCGCTGGCGATGCGATAGCTCAACAGTGCTTCGGGAAGTGCATTGGGGTGTTCCGCTATGGCTCTAAAAATTTAATACATACGTGAGCTGCTCCCGGACGCTTGCGACCATTTCCCCTCGTCTTGCTCTGCTGTATTTACCTCCCTCCCACATACTACATACCTTGTTGTGCTGTACTTCTCCTCGTACGCACTACTAGTCCCTCTTTCGATCAACTCCACGCGTTCGTTGTTGGTGCTTCCTCCCGGCGCCGCATAGAATTCCTGGCATTGAAGATTGCTTTTGGGTCTTCCACACCGACACTACGACTGTCCTCTACTAATAGTCTGCTCGGGCCCTCCCACCGACAGAAACGTTAGAGACGCACACGTCGATTGCAGAGCATCGTCGTTTTCGGGTCAATCAGATCTACATTCGACACTAGAGGCCGAGCTCCAGCTTGCCCTTACCAGTGGAAAATTGACCGGACCCTCACCGAACCGCAACCCAACTTCGCCTTCGCTCCTTCCTCCCCACATCCCAATTCCTCGGTGCATGGGATTGCCTTCACACATCATGGCCGGAGCTGCACAGAACGGAGTCAACGGGGATGCTAATGGCGCCCCGAGCTCCTACGCCGCCAAGTTCGATCTTGCTCCGCACTTCATCGGCGGGAACAACCTCAAAGTAGCGTCGCCGGGCAAGGTCAAGGACTTTGTGGCGGCGCACGACGGACACACGGTCATTACCAATGTGAGCGGGACTCTGCAGAAGAAAGTGGTGGTGTTGAGAAGGCACGCGCTGACCAGTGGCTTCCCCGCAGGTGCTCATTGCAAACAACGGTATCGCCGCAGTCAAGGAAATCCGCTCGGTGCGGAAATGGGCGTACGAGACATTCGGCGATGAGCGGGCAATCCAGTTCACCGTCATGGCGACGCCCGAGGATCTGCAGGCCAACGCTGAGTACATCCGCATGGCAGACCAATACGTCGAGGTACGTGCTCCCCCAGACAGCGGCGACGAGCGATGCATGGCTAACGGCGACTATGCAGGTACCCGGCGGTACCAACAACAACAACTACGCCAACGTCGAGCTAATTGTCGATGTGGCCGAGCGCATGAACGTGCACGCCGTCTGGGCCGGATGGTGCGTATACAGCCCAACACGCGTCGGATGAGGGCTCATGGCTGACTTTTTGCGTCTAGGGGACACGCCTCGGAGAACCCCAAGCTGCCCGAATCGCTCGCCGCCTCGCCCAAGAAGATTGTCTTCATTGGCCCGCCCGGGTCGGCCATGCGCTCGCTCGGTGACAAGATCTCGTCCACAATCGTCGCACAACACGCCAAGGTGCCGTGTATCCCCTGGTCGGGAACCGGCGTCGACGAGGTCCAGGTCGACCAGCACGGCATCGTCACGGTCGAGGACCACGTCTACGACAAGGGCTGCACAAAGTCATGGGAAGAGGGTCTGGAGAAGGCCAAGGCCATTGGCTTCCCCGTCATGGTCAAGGCCTCGGAGGGTGGCGGCGGCAAGGGCATCCGAAAGGTCGAGCGCGAGGAGGACTTTGAGCAGCTGTACAAGGCGGCTGCCTCTGAAATCCCCGGATCGCCCATCTTCATCATGAAGCTGGCGGGCAGCGCGCGCCACTTGGAAGTCCAGCTGCTGGCTGACCAGTACGGCAACAACATCTCCCTGTTCGGACGTGACTGTTCGGTGCAGCGACGTCACCAGAAGATCATTGAGGAGGCACCGGTAACAGTTGCTGGCTCAAAGACCTTCCAGGAGATGGAGAAGGCTGCCGTCTCGCTCGGACGCCTCGTCGGATACGTCTCTGCGGGTACTGTGGAGTACCTCTACTCGCACTCGGACGACAAGTTCTACTTCCTCGAACTGAACCCCCGTCTCCAGGTCGAGCATCCTACCACGGAAATGGTAACGGGCGTGAACCTCCCAGCCGCCCAGCTCCAGATTGCCATGGGTCTCCCACTGCACCGTGTCCGTGACATTCGTCTCCTGTACGGTGCCGACCCGCACGCGAGCTCTACCATCGACTTTGACTTCTCCAGCGAAGGCAGTGCCAAGAGCCAGCGTCGCCCCACTCCCAAGGGCCACTGCACGGCCTGCCGTATCACCTCTGAGGACCCTGACGAGGGCTTCAAGCCTTCCGGTGGTACTATCCACGACCTCAACTTCAGGAGTAGCTCCAACGTCTGGGGTTACTTCTCCGTCAGCTCCGCTGGTGGTATCCACAGCTTCTCCGACTCGCAGTTCGGTCACATCTTCGCTTATGGTGAGAACCGACAGGCCTCGCGGAAGCATATGGTTGTTGCGCTCAAGGAATTGAGCATTCGTGGTGACTTCCGCACGACTGTCGAGTATCTCATCAAGCTGCTTGAGACTCCTGCTTTCGAGGACAACACCATTACCACTGGCTGGCTCGACGAGCTCATCTCCAAGAAGCTGACTGCTGAGCGTCCTGACACCATGATCGCAGTCATTTGCGGTGCCGTTACCAAGGCACATGTCGCAAGTGAAGCGTGCGTCAACGAGTACAAGACCAGCTTGGAGAAGGGTCAGGTGCCCTCCAAGGACGTCTTGAAGACGGTCTTCCCTGTCGACTTCATCTACGAGGGCTACCGTTACAAGTTCACTGCGACTAAATCCACCATTGACAGCTTCACTTTGTTCGTCAACGGCACAAAATGCTCAGTCGGCGTCAGGGCACTTGCTGATGGCGGTCTCTTGATTCTGCTAAGCGGAAAGTCTCACAACGTCTACTGGAAGGAGGAGGTCGGCGCCACCCGTCTCTCCGTTGACGGCAAGACCTGCCTTCTCGAGCAGGAGAACGACCCCACCCAGCTGCGCACACCATCGCCCGGTAAGCTCGTCAGGTTCCTCGTTGAGAACGGAGAGCACGTTGGCCAGGGCCAGCCTTTCGCTGAGGTTGAGGTCATGAAGATGTACATGCCTCTCATCGCCCAGGAGGCTGGTATGGTCAACCTCATCAAGCAGCCAGGAGCCGTTCTTGAGGCTGGTGACATTCTCGGTGTCCTAGCTCTGGATGACCCTTCCAAGGTCAAGTCGGCCCAGAACTTCACCGGTCAGCTTCCCGAGCTAGGTGCCCCTCAGGTGCCAGGAGCCAAGCCACCGCAGCGATTCGTCTACCTGTACTACATCCTGCAAAACATCTTCCAGGGTTTCGACAACCAGGTCATCATGCAGAGCACTCTCAAGGAGCTGGTCGATGTCCTCCGCGACCCTGAGCTGCCATACGGCGAGTGGAACGCCCAGGCCTCCGCTCTCCATGCGCGTATGCCCCAGAAGCTTGATGCCACCTTCTCGCAGATCGTTGAGAAGGCGCACAGCCGCAACCTCGAGTTCCCTGGCAAGGC